GGGCGCCCCCTCCGGGGCGTTCCGGCGGGGCTCCCGGTTCTCTGTAAAATGCTGCCAAAAAAAAAAAAAAGCTACTCGTCAGGCCACTTCTATCATCATTTTTGTTTTACACATTTTGAAACAAATTTCCAAAGTTTTTTTATACTTTTGTTTTTTTATTTAACTTAACTTGGTGAATAGTTTTCACATATAAATAACTGCAGTATAAATTACAGCTTCTTTAAATTGATCGGTTCTCAAGTTGATGAAGTGTTTTTAAGGAAGTTAGGGTTGTTTTTGATTGGTCTCTAAATTTGTGTATTTTTTTACCGTATGTAAAAAAAAAAGAGTTTGCAATAGAATTTTTTTTTTGACGTTACATCAGGTCAGCTCATTACCTTCTTCTGTGGCAAATCTATGATTCAAAGCTAGTGTGGTATTTGCTCATACTTGAAGTATTTCTCAACAAGACTGAGCTGGTGGAATTGTTCCTGCAGATTCTTTTTTCTGACAAGCCTAAAGGAGGCGGAGTTCCACTTAATCTTTTTTTTAATATTTTTTTTTTATTGAAGAGTAAAACCAAAACTCAAAACAGAGCAGAATATAAAGCCCGAGGCCTGATCTTTATAAACGGCTGCATCTGAATTTGAGACGTGTCAGAAATACAAATGAAAACAATGATGGAGGTGTATTTTTGCCCCAGAGTTCCTCCAGATGGTCTGCTGTTCAAAAATCACAGACCAAATTTAGCCCTGGCTCAGTTCCTTCATTTCATTGGAGCAGTTTGTTGTCACGTGTCTTTTTGATACAGAGTGGAGTTCTAATATTTAAGTGTTGGTTGATAAAGTCGGAGTCGTCGCAGTTGTAGCTCCACAGTTTTTCTCATTCCAGACGTCAGCAGCTGTGAGGATGTTAGAAATAGCTACGTTTTGTATTCACTCCAACGCAGCTCTTGGCATTTAGAAATCTGATCGAGGCCCGAGCGTCTTAACTTTCCACTCTTCCACTGGTGTTGTGCTGCTGGCCACTGCTGAGGCCTGACTTTGTGTGTGTGTGTGTGTGTAACACGGAGAGATTAAAATGTGATTTCTGTTCATGTATCTCCACAGCCAGGTTCAGGTCGATCAAAAGGAGCAATGGTGCGTTCCGGAAACTCCTGCTGACAAAACATGTTTCACAGCTTGTTAAAAGCCAGTCACCTGTGGCGGTGTCTGGGCAGCTGCCCAGAGCGTCATTTTCCTCAGGGTGGTGCAGGCACTCGTTAAAATAAAGAAAAACTATTATCTATGTCAGTTTTTCTATCGCAAATTTCCAATAAATCTAGTTTTTTGACTAAAGATTATCATGTAAAAAAAAAAGTATTTCGCTTCAGAAACAACTTGAACGCGGACATGCAAAATCCAGGCAAATAGATAATCACCAACACTGGGAATTGCACCGATCACCGTTTTGCTGTAAGGCACAAACATTAACCACTCGACCACTATATGCACAGGACATGTTCAGTTCCCCTATGGATATGGATAGGACTAGGAAACATGCTTAAATCAATCTGGACGATAGGGGGCGCCAAACCATAAATCAGACTGCAGAACCAAAATGACTAGAATGGCCACTCTGCATGAACTAGTATTTTCTTACACCAACTGGTGGCCAAAGTTAGGCCAACATAATGTCATATTATTTTATTATAATTTATTTCTATACTTACTTTTTAACTTTTAAATGTATGATTTTTTGTGTTTATAGCTGGAGCGCCCCCCGGGGGCTACATTGACTAGGATCGCCCCTGCCAATCAGTGCCATTCAAACATCTCACCTTTCCGCTGGACTGTCGCACCTCTTCGTGTGAAGACTGCAGCCTGGCGATCTTCACCTGCATGTTCATGACACTGTCCGTCAGGTAGCTTAAAGTTTGGTGCTGCTGGAAACAGATCCATGCGCCAATGGCTCCACCGACCACGACCACGGCCAACAAAACCAGCAGATGAGTGGAGTTATTCCCCGCCGCACGAACTTCCGGCTCAATGATTTCATTTTTTATAAAGTTGTCTTCTTGCTTCTGGTTGCCCTTGCCTCTCCGGTGCTTGGCCGTCATCTTTCCTGCAGAAAGGACACCGTGTTCCAGCGGTGGTCTGTGTGGACAGAGCGGACACTCAGAGCAGCCGGGGCCAGAGCTGGGACCGGGACCGTCAGTGATTAACTTCAGCTGCCTCCTCTTTAAAGCTGATAGAAGGCGAGTTGATTTCAAATCAACGCACAATTAGGCTGCGAGATGTTGTTGTGGAGGTCCGACAAAGGAGAAGAGAGGGAGGCGTGTGCCCGGAGCGCCTGTTTAGTGGATCGGGGGGGAGTGAGCAGGAGCAGGGGGCCGGGCCGCTCCGGGAGTGGCTGAGCTGAACTCACCATGTGCGCTGCTGTCATCTAATGGGAAGAGCACACGTCCCCGGGTGTTCGGAGTTATTTTTACTGCCACTGGACTGAGTGAGTGACACAACCGAAGGCCCGCTGCACCACAGACCACTGGGACACTCACATGTCGTGACGTCACTGCGCTTTAAAGTGGATTACTGTGGAAAAACTGGAGAAAAGACGTCGTTTCTTTTCACCCTGATGTTTTCGTTGTCACCGTGGATGATGACGTCACTTTGACACATGGTTCTTTCCTTCTTTTCGAATGCATTTTCTCTTAACTTTCTTCCATGCTCATTTTCCACCTTTCTTTATTTCTTTCCAAGTGCATTTCTTTTTACGTCCCATAATTTCTTTTTTCCCTTCTTTTGTTCTTCCTTCCTTTCTTTCTGTCTTCCTTCCCTCTCTCCCCTACACCATTTATTTTTCATTATTACCTTTTTCATCTCATTCCATTCCTTCTCTTTTTCTCTTAACCAAAAATAGTATTATAATAATATAAACAACACAGTGTTTCATTTTTTATTTTTATTTTATTTCATTTCCAGTGTTTTTCATCGTCTCTTATTGAATTCTGTCCAAACAGGAAAAACCAATTCACTTTAAAATGAATTGTTCCTCAGATCGGGGGGAGTTTCCATCGTCTTTCATTCTGTTAAAGTAACAAATGAACATTATTAGAAACTTTTTTCCGTTCATACGTGTGTGTGTGTGTGTGTGTGTGTGTGTGTGTGTGTGTGTGTCTCACCCTCGACACTGAGGATGGTGGAGGACTCGGCTCGTCCCAGAGAGTTCTCCGCAGTGATGCTGTACTCCCCCGTGTCTCTGGGGCCAACGTGCAGGATCGACATGGAGCAAACCCCACAGGTGTCGGAGATGTAGTAGTTGGTGTTTGTGTTCAGGCTGATGTGATTCCGAAACCACCTAATGCGAGGTTTGGGATTCCCCTTCACAGCACAGCTCATAAAGCACTCATAGCCCTTCGGTGCCGCGTGCAGCTTCAGAGGTACGATAAAGGACGGAGGACACCGCAAATCACACTCCTTCCTGCTAGGCTGTGTCAAAATAAACTTTGCTGCAAAAGAGCAGGTGCAGTCATTAATATGCAACTTTTAATGGAGTTTGTTTTTTAATTTCTTTCTTCTGGAAATCAAAACCAACCTCTCTGCTTCTCTCTCCCCCAGGTGGGAGACTCTGAGGGCGCAGATACACCGATGTCATTCTTGGCATAAACTCTGAACTGATACTCCCTCCCGTGCATGATGTCGCAGACCGTGAACCTGTTATTGAAGAGTCGCTCGGCCACCGTGGTCCACGTCCGTTTGGTTGAGTCTCGCGCTGTCACGGTGTAGTGGAGGCGATCGTCGCGCTTCTCGTCAGGAGAGGATTCCCAGACGACCGTGATGGTGCCGAGAACGTTCTCCTCCACTTCAACCAGTCCGGGAGGCTTTGGATCATCTGGTCAGTTCCAGTAAGAAAGGTTATAGTTAATAAATATGTAGATCAGGCCTGGGACTTCCAAAAATATAACCCACACTCCAGCCCTCTAGGTGGCAGCAGAGCACCAAATGTTAATTTGCTACCTAAAAAAAGATGCACAGGATTATTGACCTCCATGGACAAGAAAATTTGTTTGACAGCAATGAAAAATGTGAACTCGCTATTTGGCTGGTTCGGGTTGCTAATGTAGCCTAGAGAAGAGAATGGTTTTGTGCAAATTGCTGCGCTAACATTAGCTCCAACAGAGGAGTAAGATGAAGAATACTTTTTTTTTGTTGGTTACGTTCATGTTTGTCTATTTAGTGAATCCTTTTAATCAAAATGAATGTGGATTTAAAATACTTAGCTTATTGTGCTAAATACTACATTCTCTGGGTATAATTACTCTTTTTTTGCTGTATTCTACTATCAATATAGTTATAAAAATGAATTGGTGAATTTACCTGTGACCCTGACCTCTGTACTGAATGTCTCCTGTCCAACCAGATTTCTCAACAAAACAGAGTAGATTCCAGAGTCGGAGCGCTCAGATGAAAGGATTAGCATCTGGGATGAGCCGTCACAGTTCGTTATTATGGTTTGTTTTGTCACAGGCAGACTGTCCTTCATCCACATAATGTCTGGCTGGGGAGAGGCCTGGTCAGAAGAAAAAACACATCAGCAAAATAATGAGAACTCTGGACGGGTAATATTACTGTTCCTAACAGAAAAAACAAAAAATCTCACCTCAAAGTTTACTGTGATTCTGACAGAGTTTCCTGCTCTAACCACCAGGAAACTTTTCATCTTCTTGTTCGTGAACTTTGGCCTCACTAAAATGAACAACAGAAAAATAATAACAGTGTGATGTGTATTTTGAGCCTATAAGGACGATGTAGTGCCATTCTTCTGAGAAACAACGTACCAGGCGAGGGCATAGCGATGATGTAGTTGGACAGCTCCTGCGGTGCACCTTCTCCTCCGTCATTGGTGGCGATGACTCTGACCCAGTACATCTCCATGGACCTAAGTCCCCTCACAGTGAAGGAGGTGGTTGTGATGGCACTGCCGTTGCAGCGGGACCATTCGATACAATCGGCATGTCGAACTTCCACAAAGTATCCTTTGGCTTCATCCTGTATCCCAGCTTTCTCCTTTGGTGTGGTCCAGGTCAGGGTCAAGTGGGTGTAAGAGGTTTCTGTCGCCTTCAGGCCCGTGACTTTACCAGGAGGCTCTGGAAAAGAAATACTTTTGTGGTAAAACTAAGATGTAAAAAAAAAAAAATAATATATGTATATGTGAAATTATGTGTGTCTACATACATTTATATATATATAGACATACATACAAAATGCAATTTATTTATACTTAAATGTAATGTGAAAAATAGTGATAGCACTTACTCTTGGGATCCCGTGCAAAAACAAACTCAGAGGGGCCGCTAAATTCACCAACTCCCGAGAGATTTATGGCTGCTTAAATTCATACCCCCCCCCCGCCACAATATCCTTTACTGCATGTTTCTTGCCTGCAAGTAATATTTTGGACATCTTTTTTGAACGTCACCAACAACAGCACTGTTATGGATTGAAAATGTCGACAGTTTACGGTCAACAGACCTTTTATTGTTTCATCACTGGCATTCACAACAGTCCAGAGATTACTTCCCTTTTTGCGTTTTTCCAAAATATAACCCTGAATACGGGATCGTCCTGTATTACTGGGTGCAGACCAGCAGAGGTTAATGCAGGTTTCACTCGCACTGATCACCTTTGGAGCTGCTGGAGGGCCTGGTGAGAAATTTAAAGATACAAAAAAAAAAAAAAAAGAAAGAAAGAAAGAAATTTAAAAAAAATGGAACATTAGAACATTATCGGTCTTTGATACAAGTTGCATTAAAACAGAGTCAACTAATAGCACTGCAGTTCAACGTCCAGCAGAGGGCAGCATTGCCTCCAGT